TCGAGGTAGGTCACTGAGGTAAAATGAATCAGGTCAACATTTTGTTATTAGAAACATATCACCCGTCGTAATCCCTAACGCTTATTCGAATAGCAACATTAAAGCAATGTTGTGGAAATCTGGTCACCCTGCCCTAATGAAGGTCAAAAAGGTCACTGACCTCATAAGACTTACGCTTAGAACAGGTACCTAGCTTCACGGTGGTTGCATGAGGAGGCACGGGGGGCACTTGAGGCCCCAATCCGGAGTTTGAAGTTCTTGACCTTATTTGACCCCAAGGTCATGACCCAGGAACCTGAAATTTTGACACAAGTGAGTTCTTGTACGAGTTGATCTGCCCTGTAAATTTGACGTTTCTAGCCATCTTAGTTCCTGAGATCTCAGCAGGGAGTCAAAGTTGACCCCGCCCGCCCGCGGGCATTCAGTCAATCACCCGGGCGCGTGTTAAAAATCGGCGTGATGTTTTCTCCCCCTACTCGCGCTCCCTTAATGAGATCCTGGCTGCGCCTTTAGCCACAGGCGAAAGAAGAGGTGCACGCGTATCCTCTCAAGACTAAACTCAGGGTCATTCTGTGTATAAAATGTCGTGTGCGCAGTTCCTAACACGCAGCGAAGTTATCCTTGCATAATTGCCACGCAGCCCGGTCGGCGGTGCTTCGGTGCACCGGACGTCGCGGCGAGCGTGGCGGTGGACCTCCAGCGCACAGGGGCCGGTGCCGCACCGCCGGCCGGTCTCTGTGCAGCATCGGCGATCGCCGTCACGGGCGCCCCGACAGCCGTGACGGACATGACGGGTCCTGCGGGCCGTCTCTCTGTGACACTCTGACAGCGGAGCGGTGTGCTGACCTGGCGAAGACTCGGCTGGATGTGGGCCGCCGACAGAGGCGCGCTCTCGAACCTGCGGCAGCTGACCGGGCACAAAGAGCCAGCAGGCGGCTCAGTGAGATGCGAGGAGCTCCAGGCTGCCACGGAACAATCAACATGCTTGAGCTGTTATACTGCTTGAAAGAAGGACTGGGGCGCGCCCGAAAACACCAATCAAGAAACAAAGAAGGGATGGAAGTTTATTAATTTTTTTGATAGACAGGGATAATTATGATTAGTCTGCTAAATTATATGACAGGCAGGGATTATTACTACAAGTCTGCTAAATCATAGAGCGGACAAGGATGGAAGTTTGCTGAATTATCTGAGGGTATGACCGAACGGTATATGGCTGAGTCAGCCGCCATGCTGAAGTCATCCGAGGACGCGATCCGTTTTAGCCCACCGAAGCTTAGGCAGCCGGCAGCGGTGTCGACTGGGATGGGCTGGCTGAGGATCGCAGGAAGTGACCGCGGGATGGTACCGCTGGGACGGTAACCCCCTCACCCAATGGCGTTCGGAATGCCAGCAAAACCGCGAGCAGGACTGCCAGGGGCGTGCTGCCGAGGACTTTGATTTGCACGTGCACGAGTACCAGCCACGTGCCCCACAGGCTTACGTTATCAGACATCGGATTAAGCGGGTCACTTGCAGGGTTTATGTGTCATCAGCGTGCCCATGCTTGCCTCAGCGGTTGTCTGATTTACAGCGAAGCTGATTCACTGCACATACGTCTTACGTCGGCAGGCAGTGCAAAGTTCGGTGTTCAAGTGTTTTACACTGTGTGAAAACCCTCCTGAAGAGGATGGGCTTAAGTCCAAAGTCTTGCGTGTGTGGTAAATGCGGTCATCATTTCGCTCGTACTTATGGCTATGTTTTATGAGATAACCCCAGATTTTTAGCCGCGCCTTTAAGCTTAAGACCGACATAACCACGACCCCAGCGATTCTCGCTCCTGGCGTGTTCTTGCACGGAAGTTGGCTGCATCCTAAGCCATCCCTCCTATATTTTCGCAACCACTCAGGTTGATTACTGGCTTTGCCGATGCACTTCCGTGCCATGCTCTGGCAACCGCAAATCAGTCATAAGCTATCATCACGGAAGCAATGCCGAACTCTCGCCGACAACGCCATGTCAGAAAAGGCGAAGAATAAGAAAAAAACACTGCTGTAAACACTTTTTATCAAAACACTTCTCAGCGACACGAATACTTTCTCCAACGTATGCCATCCTTCTGGGCCATGTTAAACAGATAAAGAGGCAGTCACTTGTCTGTGCGTATGGAAGTGGTCATAAGCCTCAGCATCCGCGTTCACAGGGTTCTTGCGAGAGTCTCCAGGGCCGACACGAGCCCTGTCTCCAGGGCCGACACTAGCCCTGGTCACCGGACTTGTGCGTCACCAGCTTCATTAATCTCCAAGCTCGGTGATCAGCGCGAGCTTTCGGCACGCGCAAAGCATTAGCTCTGGCATGGCTTAGCCGTGGCCGCGTGCGAGCTTTGCTCACGTGAACCAATTATCACCTACAGGTTTTACACTCGTGATGAGTCATTGCTAAATGACTGGTCACAGCGCAAGAACAGAGCTCTTCCGATTACTGAGAGCATCAGTCCATCTGCATCCGATCCGTTTGTTGCGATGATCGACTAGAGTGTGTGATAAATGGCAACACGTATCCAAAATCCAAGTTTGTTGATGACCTGATCTTAATCTGAATATGGCAGTATATGTAAAAAAACGGTGTTTGTCGCTTTCGTGCAATTATTTACAGATCGATTAATACTAAACTTTATGCAAATGGTAAATCTTTGCGGCTATCCGAATTTTTTTCTTTGGCGGGCAATAGCTGACGGCACTGGACGGTTCTACGCTAAAAGTACTCCCATTCCATTCTATTACCATTCAGTTATTTTTACCGTTTCTGTTCTACTGACGCCGACATGATTTATCTGACACTGAAGCACGTTTTTATACAGAATATGAAATAACGTGCGCATGGGAAGAAGTGTGCGTAATAGCAAGCATCACACTACTATAACATCCAAACCACAGGAGCGTGCGCGCATAGTGACCTCCAGGAACACGTGCTCCTCCTCTTATCATATTTTTTGCGCGCATTTACATATACGTTAATACGTGTTGAAAATCCAAAATTCGAGGTAGCTTAGTCAAACTAAACAAATCGAGGACATGTGACATGTTTTACGTTTTCAAAGAAACTTTTTGCGCCTGCGGAGGCTCGTTAACCTGGGTTTTCAGTGTTTTTTTATAGTTTTTCCCTCATTGCGAGTTCCTGCTCGCGCCACTGCCGAGCAAGTGTCCTGGACCAGGAATTCCGCGACCCAAAATTGTGTTTCTACACGTGACTATTTAAGTCATGTAGACAACCGTCCAAACACTTGTCGAGGTGTTACCTTCAAGCGGGTTAAGAAGGCGACCGTCACCTGGCGAGAAAATAATACTGGTCATTTCTGGAACAGCGTTTGTAATGATGCTCTAGCGGTGTTTGCTCTCAAAAAGTGTTTATGCATTGTTCTCGAGGATTAGTTATTGCCGACGCCAGTTAATTTTCTGCTCAGAATTGTGCTTTACGATATAAGAAAGACAATTTCTGGCGTGACTACTTCTTCTCCATCGACACTTTATAGTACGATGCAATGTATGATACGTGATGATGCCGCACGGTCAAACCCAGGGGCTGAGAGAGAACGCTGGAATCGTTATCCACTGGGCACCGAGTCCCGGACGGAGCGCGTTGTTTGACCCAACTGATATGGAAAGGTCAGCTGACAGCTGGCCAACGAGGGTCAGCCTGGGCCTGGGGTGTCTGGGTCGCAGGACTGTGGGGCATGGGGTAACCGATGCAGTCCTGTCTTCTGAACGGTTGAAGGGGAAGTAGTCCGTTGAACTGGACGGCATAGTCTGGGATGGCGGGTTCGGCTAGCTCGAAACAGCCTTTACTCGGCAGACTCTGAACAAAAGGCCCTCTATGCAAACCATGGGAATGAATCTGAAATGAAAAAGTTCAAAGCCTATTTTGGTGTTCGACATTAATTTACCGAGAAAAGTGACACCTGAGCTGAAACCTGCATTCAAACCAGCTCAAGATTTGGTTTTTAAGTCCGTTAAATTTGATTGACTCTAGCGTGGTTCATGACTGCCTCCGATAAGAAGCGAGAAAATGGAAATGCTAGTTTTCGCCTTGGCGGCTAAACGGCCGTCGTTACCATGGAATATATATACCGTGCGGTATAATATTGCTATGCAGCTGGTTTTCCCCTGCGGACTGTGGCCCCAACGGTTTTGCGCAGAGCAACACACGCCGCACACGCCGCAGGGACTGTCCGTCCGTCGGTGCCTCCACGTCCCGCGGCACCGGCCCGCTGACGGCATCGCTGAGTGACCCCTCAGTGATGTCCCCACCCCAGAGCCGGCGCTGGGGGGCGCGGAGAACGGGCAGGCGGCGGCCGGGTCACGTAGCGGCTTTGTGAGCCTGGCCGGGCGCTGCCGTCACCGGAGCCGGCCGCCGACACAATGCGTCGTTACGGGCCGAGCGGGCGGCGGCCCCGAGTCTGTGCGGCCCGGCGCACGCGGCACCGGTGCAGGCAGCGGCTCCGTGCATGCCGCGCATGTCTTCAGCCCGAACAAATGTGGAACGGATGAAATAGCGTGCCCTTTTGCTAGGCTTTCGGCCTAAAATACTGCGGACTTAAATACAGCGATCATGGAGGTACTGCGTAGTGTCATGCTCTTCCCACAGGGCAAGGTTAACGAATTAGTGCAGAAGCAAATTTGGAGAAAGACTCTTACTGAGTCCGGTCAGGACCTATCCATGTACCTAACTTTTAAACATTGCAATACTTATTACATTATTGTAATGTAAAGACACTACTAAAATGTTCCGAAGAAAATCGTTTGTAGACCAGAATCGTTCCCTTCAACATACCACCACTTAGTGTGTAAAGAAATGTTTGAAGGCCATAACAGACGACTCTTGGGTGCTCACAGATTGTTCCACGAACACTCGCAGCCAACGCGCTCCAAAGGCCCCAAATCACCAGCACGCCTGCTCCCAAAAACTGTCCGCTGTAATCTGGCAGCGACGGCACGCTTGTAATGATCGTGCTCGCGTTCCAGCCGTGCAGAATGAGCGGGACAGGATCAGCGTGCGTCGCGCAAGCCTCGAGGACAACTCGGGCAGCTCGCTGTCGGTGCAGATCCTGCTGAACGCGGAGGTCATATCGCGGCAGATCGACTCCAGCTGGGTGAGTGCACTGAGCAATCGGTCTTGGCTCGTGTTTGAACGCGGCCGGAGTGTTCGAGCCGGTATTTGCTTCTGCCGGTGGGGTTTTAACTGGTATTTGCACGGAGTGGGAACGCTGGATAGCAGGTAATTGCCCGTTGGTGCGGGCTTCGCTTAAGCTAACATCTCCATTAGCCGGCGAGGCTCACAAGGACTCTTCATTATTTATAAGCACGGTGTAGAAACGTGGGTCGAGACGGAGGCCACTGCGCTTCTGCTTCCGCTAAGTTAAACATAGCCGTAAGCGTAAGGAAACTGGAAACTCTAACGCCTAGCGTACTGAGACCGTTAAGGTAGATCTTGCCCAAAAATTTATCGGGACATTCTGATGTTCCTGATTTATGGCAGTTGGGCCTCCATATGGAAGATTATCGTGCGAATTTAGCGCATCAACTCTGAGACTGTTTCCTAGTCTGTAAATGTAAAACCCCGGCGTGGTCCATAAAAGTGTGTCTAAGGGATTGTTCTGGATTTCAGTTTATTGGAATAAACATCAGATAAGACGAAATAAGCTCACTGAGAGGTCAACTGATCACCACTGACGCCTCGAATCGTGCTGACGCAGGTCTGACACGAATATTTCGATGATCATGTTTTCTCGGCATTAAGCAATACACGGACATTGGGGTGGCGGTATTCGCGTGGCATTTCCATGACGCATGCATGTCCGGGTGGTATTGGAAAAGTCCACACGAAGAGGGTTTTTTTTCTATTATCTTGGCCTTGAGGACCACGTGGCCATTGGTTTGGCCGTATTCGCGTGACATTGTCATGACGCTTGCATGTCCGGGTGACCTTCAAATGGGCCGCGCGAAATAGTCCGCACGAGTTTGCGTGCTTCAAGCTCAGAAGCAAAATGGACTTGGATTCTTAAAAAGTACATGACTGTGAGTTGTGTTGAATGCTCTTGAAAACGGCCATCACATTTCTAATTCACACACAAATATGAGGCACTCCTTTTAATCCCACCTCGCCCTCACTCGCTCCAACACGCTACAAGGTTTGTCACACTCCGAACACACTCCGTCCTCGCCGCGGAGTTGTCCTGTACTGACTAAGTCTGTCCTCGCTGCAGAGTTGTTCCTGTCCTGACAAGGTCCGTCCTCGCTGCAGAGTTATACCGTACCGACAAAGTCTGTTCTCGCTGCAGAGTTGTCCTATAAAGACAGTCTTTTCTCGCTGCAGTTGTCCTGTACCGACAGTCTGCTCTCGATGCATCTGTTCTCGCTGCAGAGTTGTCCTGTACCGATAGTCTGTTCTCGCTGCAGAGTTGTCCTGTACTGACAGTCTGTCCTCGCCGCAGAGTTGTCCTGTAATGACAGTCTGCCCTCGCTGCAGAGGTGTCCTACACTGACAGTCTGTCCTCGCCGCAGAGGTGTCCTATACTGACAGTCTGTCCTCGCCGCAGAGTTGTCCTGTAATAACAGTCTGTCCTCACTGCAGAGTTGTCCTGTAATGACAGTCTGCCCTCGCGGCAGAGTTGTCCTGTAATGACAGTCTGTTCTCGCTGCAGAGTTATTCTGTAATGACAGTCTGTCCTCTCCGCAGAGTTGTCCTGTAATGACAGTCTGTCTCCGCCGCAGAGTTGTCCTGTAATGACAGTCTGTCCTCGCCGCAGAGTTGTCCTATAATAACAGTCTGTCCTCGCCGCAGAGTTGTCTCGTAATGACAGTCCATCCTCGCTGCAGAGTTGTCCTGTAATGACAGTCTGTCCTCACCACAAAGTTGTCCTGTAATGACAGTCTGCCCTCGCGGCAGAGTTCTCCTGTAATGACAGTCTGTCCTCACCACAGAGTTGTCCTGTAATGACAGTCTGCTCTCGCTGCAGAGTTCTCCTGTAACGACAGTCTGTCCTCGCCGCAGAGTTGTCCTGTAATGACAGTCTGTCCTCCCCGCAGAGTTCTCCTGTAATGACAGTCTGTCGTCGCTGCAGAGTTCTCCTGTAATAACAGTCTGTCCTCGCCGCAGAGTTCTCCTGTAATGACAGTCTGTCCTCACCACAGAGTTGTCCTGTAATGACGTCTGTCTCGCCGCAGAGTTCCTGTAATGACAGTCTGTCCTCGCGCAGAGTTGTCCTGTAATGACAGTCTGTCCTCGCCGCAGAGTTGTCCTGTAATGACAGTCTGTCCTCGCCGCAGAGTTGTCCTGTAATGACAGTCTGTCCTCGCCGCAGAGTTCTCCTGTAATGACAGTCTGTCCTCGCCGCAGAGTTGTCCTGTAATGACAGTCTGTCCTCGCCGCAGAGTTGTCCTGTAATGACAGTCTGTTGTAATGACAGTCCATCCTCGCTGCAGAGTTGTCCTGTAATGACAGTCCATCCTCGCTGCAGAGTTGTCCTGTAATGACAGTCTGTCCTCGCCGCAGAGTTGTCCTGTAATGACAGTCTGTCCTCGCCGCAGAGTTGTCCTGTAATGACAGTCTGTCCTCGCCGCAGAGTTGTCCTGTAATGACAGTCTGTCCTCGCCGCAGAGTTGTCCTGTAATGACAGTCTGTCCTCACCACAGAGTTGTCCTGTAATGACAGTCTGTCCTCGCGCAGAGTGTCGTATGATCAGTCTGTCCTCACCACAGAGTTGTCCTTGTAATAACAGTCTGTCCTCGCCGCAGAGTTGTCCTGTAATGACAGTCCTGTCCTCGCCGCAGAGTTGTCCTGTAATGACCAGTCTGTCCTCGCCCGCAGAGTTTCCTGTAATAACAGTCTGTCCTCACCACAGAGTTCTCCTGTAATGACAGTCTGTCCTCCCGACGCAGAGTTGTCCTGTAATGACAGTCTGTCCTCGCCGCAGAGTTGTCCTGTAATAACAGTCTGTCCTCGCTGCAGAGCTGCCCGCGCTGACCCAGCCCGCTGCCGTCCCCAGGATGGCTGTCGTGAGATGGACATCAGCGATAAGCAGATGGCGACGCAAGAGGACGTGTGTGAGTCGATGCGGCAGCAGCTGCTCGCTGTTGTGGAGTGGGCCAAGTGCATTCCGGCTTTCATGGATCTGACGCTGGACGACCAGGTGAGCCGCCGGCGGTCACGTGACAGAAGCGGTCTGACCCACAGTGTAATATGGAGCCGTTCATAAATAATGGACGGATTTTTGGCCATTTTGCAACCACCTTTGTGGTGCTTATATGCTAACTATGCCGGGTAATCCCCCGCCTCCCATTGCTACGCAGGGTTAATCGCAACGCTCCCGAAAAGTAACGTTCGTTCGGCCCTTAAAAGAAGTAAGAGATGCGAAACAAATGACGCGGTTTGTTGTCTGGAGGGGAAGCCGGCGGAACCTGCGTTTAGGGGTACTAAATTGTTGTTAGACGTTTTAACATGATTCGTAATCACAACTGAGAATAACGTTACGCTGTTCAAAGTCATCTCTCCCTACCTAGTTACGCTTCTGATACGCTCCATCAAGCCCCCTCCCACCCCCCTCCACATTTAACGCAATTTATGGGCGAGCCGTAAACGGTGATGCAAACTGCGAAATGTTAGCGTGATTTGGCTCAGCTCGAAACAACCCTGTTGAACGGAAGCTGCGGACGTTGTCCGACACTTGCCTTTGCCTTGTCATTATTCTTTTACCACTGTGAAGGCGGGTAGCGATCGCTAAGTTGTATTCTGCTGTATTGCTCTAGGCATTGCTATGACTTCGGGGCGGAGAATGTCTAGTTCAGCTCATCCTCCTCCTCATTTCCCAAGTTTCAGGCTACTCTATCAATAAAAATGCAGCAGAGTACGTAGGGAATCTGCGCATGAGCCAGTACCGTTTTAGCGACTCTTCCCAATCTTCCTGGGCCAGCAACTGCGGTGCCCGCCGGCCCGCTGAGCACAGCAGCCCCGGTCTGAAGGGTGCGACGGCGGCCACCAGGCGTCCCCGGGCCGCCATCCCGTCCAAATCGGACAGTATCGGTCACGTGGGGCTGGGAGGGGCAGGGACCCGAGATGCCTGACCGCTAACTAACCGGTGACATTGAAAGGGGTTTGGCCCACCAAGAACGATGGTGGTTAAGCTCGTTTCAAGTGAAAGAGTGGATATACGTGATACAAAGCTGCGTTATCGAAAGACACGTCTCAAACCACCAAATTCAGCGCACTTGAAATGGAGAAATGTTGCAGCGAAACGAGCAAACTTTTAGCAAAAAAAAAAAAACACCCGCCATTTCAACCAGGAGGATAGGCCTCGGCTGTCTATGTACATAACTCAAATGATTGCATGCCCTATCCCTTAAGCACGCGTCCAGGTGGCCGGTTGAATACCGTTCACTGGGCGGGAGGGGGGTTAATATGACCCGCTTGTACCTCCTTATATATATATATATATATATATATATATATATATATATATAAGAATTACCTTCGCTAGCAGTCGCGCCTTGACCGTGACCTGCTATAAGGTCACCCACCTGACAAGGAGCATTATATTTTGATATACGAAAAGATCCGTTATTCAAATGCATGCAGCTTTTCAAAATGTGGCTTGGCTGCGGTGCGCCGTTCCAAGATTATTAAAAAAGACCCTGTGAGTGAGTCAAATTGACCCCCACCCCAGTGCTTGTCAAGGGCGTGTTCCATTTTTATATGGATTTCGAACTGAAATAGCCATATTATACATCATTTGGCCCAGCTTACAGCTCTGCCCCTCTAAAGACCTGAAACCTTTTAGTTTTTGAGCTTCACACACTCGTGAAAATGTGTGGACCATTTCGTACGGACTATTTCAAGGTCATTTAGGCATGCGTGACGACATATAAAAATCATTTAAATACAGCCACCCCGTAGGCCATGCGGCGAAATATAATCGCCGAGCCGTTCATGTCTCGCTATCGTGAACATGAGTTTTCAGGCATAATGGGCGTCAATTTGGTCTCAATTGATGTTGAACAGGCTGTTCCAGCTTCATACACGGTTTGGTTGTTTGGTTGTTTGGATTAGATTCCTTTCGACCAGAAAGGACCATTTCAGGGCTATAGGGTGGAGGAGAATGGATAGCGGTGGGGCGGAACTACATGCGCCTGGGGGACCCACCGCCGAGCCGTAGCCCGTGCAGGGATGCACGCTGGGTACCCGGTGGGGGTTCCCCTCAAGGGGCCTCTCGGGCCACGTGGCTGACGCATGCGGCCTGCCCCGGAGAACCGGGACGTCACGAGGGTGCAGGATAAAGGAAGAAAAGCGGATAAGAGGGTCGGATGTTCCAACACGAATCACGTGTAGAGCTACATAATATAAGAAGTGTGGCATGACAGCCAGTTATTGCGGGAATAAGACTTGCATTCGAATAACTTAAAATGGCGCCTTAACCGAGAATGTGAATGCAAGGGAATATCCCGAACTCACGGAGAGATGTGCAAGATCGCCAAAAGAAACGGCCAAAACACGAGCAAATCACGATATTTGGCTCATCAAACACTTCCAATACCACCAGGTTCACCTCTCAGGGGGTTGAAGCACAAGGATGGCGATTTCGCGTGGCAAGTTTGGCAGCACCTCAGCGTCGTGCAAACGGCCCGTGACGCAATCAAACAATGAGGTATTGAGCGGCACGTGAACTAAAAAGAGAAATGTTGTGGTTTTTGACAGTTTTTTGTACTTCAGAAAATCCCAAAAGTCTTACGTGCGCTTTTTCATCAAATCTTGTGCCAGCTTCAATATCTTCAAATGTTGACTATTCCCTTTAAGCAAAGTATGCATTTGCGTTGCAGTGAGGAGGCCAGAAAGTCCAGGAATTATATATCTCACTTTCGTGTATGCAAGTTGGATTACAATTCAGAAAATGTAAGCTGAAGTGAGTATTTCTCCTACTTGCATAACCCCGCTTGCATTAAGTTGATCACTGCACACCTCAAGTGAAGTTTTAGTTCTCCTGGCCGTGCGCGGTTTGGCGCAAGGGACCCGCGGTCGCCACTACCTGTGTTTGATGGGCCTGTGTGCTCCAAGACAGTGTTCCCATGTCACGCTCTCCAGGGCCCTGCTCGATCTGTTGTCAGCACGATTGTCAGCTGGACTACGTGACATCATGCGTACTGACGCAGGGTTCGATGTGAGGGCGGACGTGGAAGTATTACACTATGCCTTTCTTTTTCTATTACTCTAACTTTTTAAGTGTGACACCTGCTTTGGTGTTATCACGTATTCTACCCGTAGGTTGGACGCTTCTTTTCATTCCATCTCATTGTAATTTTTCCTTTCTGTTTTTTATTGTTGGCTCCATGTGGCGGGAAAGCTCTTCCTTTCGCTGCTACTCGAACTGACATAAACACCATCATTTTATTCGACTCCTACTTGTGCTGACAATGTTCATCTTTGAGATGCGAGGTGCTTTGTTTCCGTTCTCTATGTCTTACGGTTACCCCAACGCTACTGATTGACCGGGCACCGCAATCACCCACCACACCTTTCACTGTCACTCACCTTTCCGTGACCTCTCTTGCATCAGGCAGTCGAAGTCCCTCTTATCCATCCTACGTCGCTTTCACCCAAAATTAGAGACAAGTGCTGCCCACGGGCCACCTAACGTACCCGCAGACGCAAGAGCTAGCGCATTAAACTAGCGCTTTTTTGTCAGAGCGATTTGTTTAAATGGAGTATTCCATATTTGTATGGGGATTTGAACTGAAGTAGCCACATTGAAAATCATTCGGTGCAGTTAATAACCCTGTCCTTCTAAAGACCTGAACCCTCCTAGTTTCTAAGCTTCACGCCCACGAAAATGCGCAGTCTACTTCGGGGAGACCATTTGAAGGTCACCCAGGCATTCATGATGTCATTATGACGTCATTCAAATCCTGCCTTTCCGTTGGCCACGCGGCGTTCAGAGCCAACAAAATACCATTGTCGAATTGTTCACGTCTGGCGTTGGCTGACAATTAATGTTGTGCAGGGTACACTGACGTAATCAAACAATGACATAGTGCGGACCATGTTTGCTAAACAGAGAAATTGTGTTGTCTGGGGTAGACATGTCCACTTGAAGGTATACCCAGTTATAAGTGAGTTTATTTCATTTTATCTGGTTCTTGCTTCAACATCTTCAAATATGGAACATTCCCTTTGATCTGGTAGTGCTCTTTCTCCATGCTGACTGGCTGACAAAACATTGCGTCGCGTGACGTCACAAATCACGTGCCTTTTTGGTCACATAACTTGACGTAGGGAAAAAACTGGGCCGTGATGGGTGTTGACAAACTTGCTAACGACAGATTGAGCGCGACCCAGAACTAATCAACAAATGCGATTCTCCAAAACGCCTTTTCTACCCTGCCAGACACAAACAATGGAAATATAAACACTTTGGTATTCTTCTTTTGACCCACGGCACCGCAGGTATCCTTCTTTTGACCCACGACACCGCGGCGCTGACGCTCCACCGCGCCAGAATTGACTCGTGAGGGCCGTGATCGGCGCCTGGGCCTGTCGATGTCGAATTCGACGATTCTGGCAACGAGCGCATCGCTGGTCGCCAGGGGATAGTGAAACTGGTCCACCACTGTGTCCTGTCTGAGTGTCTACCTTGTGGTTCTCGGAGTGTTGATAAGTGAGGACGGAGACAGAGCAGACAGGAAGACAATGCATTTTCCACCCCACTGTGCTTGCTGACATCTTGGAATTCACCACGCGCGTTGTTTTCGTCGTTTGATGTGCCGCTTCCCCCCTGATCTCGGCTGATGAACTCCCAAGCTCATTGCTTTTCTAACCGGCGGCCGTGCCATTTTCGCCGTTGTGATATTCTTTCGCTCATTTACAGTCGCTCTGTGTTTTGATGTCACCGCCAACGTCTTAACTAGCAACCCACTTGATACGCGAACGGCGCACTCGAAAACACAACCCCAAGCGTGCATTGGCGAAAGAACAAATTATCGCACAAAGAAGAACTTGTCGCGGCCCGTGGTTGCGATGCAAGCTGATGGCGCATTTATGTGGCGCATTTAGGTCATTCCTCCCCTCGGTCTTACTCCGCACAGTGCAAAACGCACCGCTGTTGGCGTCTGTCAGAGCAAAGATGACTCAACAGGGTCGCGCGGC